ACTTTCTCTGAGCTTAGTGAAGCATGTTAGTAGTTTTTTTAAAGTATCTTAAAATATTTAACACTGCATTTTAATAGTTTCAATCAGAAGGGCTAATCAGGTTTCCTAATTTGCTATAACACCAGAATTAGAAATGTACTCCTACTCTGAGCCTTCTGCTTTCCTCTGTTGCAGTAACTCCTACTTGGTGAGCTGTCAGAAAGGGCTACCTGGTGCTCAAGGTTACTTCTCCAAATACCATCCAAATACCAGATTTCTGGCTTCAAAGTGAGGACACTTCTGGGATCCAGCTCTGGGCTCTGGCAGAAATATAGCCAGAGGCCCCGTCTGTTCCCAGAAGTGCCGTCAGTATCAAAAAGTCTGTAACACACCAGGAGCTGGATTTTCTGCTGTATTTAAAGTTTTCTAAGTTATTCAGCTCTTACCTTCAAGCTCTACTACAAGAAAGAACAGCAGAAGTAATTATGCTCCCTAAGGCTGTCTAAGGAACGTACGTGCACTTCCCACAGGAAGCGTCCAGAGCCTCCGTTTCCCTGCTTGTTTGCTTTGCTCCCTGGATTCCCTCTCTGACTCTGAACCTCACCAGCATCCTTGCCGGCGTTCGGCGACTTGTCACTGACGGTAAGTTCTGCCTCTTGGTCTGATCTTTTAGCTCTTTCTTTTCTCCCCAGCAGTTTGCTTCCCACACACCTTCTCCTATTTTGGACCACATTCCATTTGTTCTTTTCCTGTAGCTATCAGTTATCTCTCGTCATTCCTTGTCCTCCATGAGTACCCAACCTGTCTAGATCTATAAATTACAATGGGTAGAATTCAAAAGTGAGTTTCTTGCCCCCTTTAGTGAATGGTGACTTCCTCCTCAAGCCAGATAGCTGGGAGGGTTACCTGAATGGGTCTTCCGTCAGGTGTCAGCACCTCTTCTGACAGTTCCATCATCTTCAAGGCCATCAGGGCAATGGGCTTCGCGTGGCAGAGGCTCTTTCTGTGGAGTCCTGCGGCCACACAGTATGCGTCACCTATTGTTTCCACCTGCAGCAATCAGACAGATCAAATGTAAACGTATGATAATGAGCTAGAGGAGAAAGGATTAGTTATCTGCAATCATAACTGTTGCTGAAAAACATGTCAGCAAAACATCAATAAATTAAGCAATTAGACAACTGTGTGTAATCACAGTAGAGTTTGCAAACAACCACAGTCAAATCCTGACATCTCACTCCAGGGCTGTTCATTAACATTATCACCAGAGATGATCACTGAGATGAGAAGCAACTGTAATATAAAATAATTATCCTCCACACAAATAGAACCGTCAGCATTCTGCCTAGATAAGTGCCAAATAATGACATTTTCCAGAGCCACCCTCTGATTGCCTTCAAACCTTAAAATAGCACTTCTCTGGAAAGCATGTTTCCCCAATTTTTCTGCCTTTCCCATTGCTCCCCCCTTCTAGACATATCTGTAACTGGGTGTCAGGGCTATCCCCTTCTAGACACATCTGTAACTGGGTGTCAGGGCTATCCCCTTCTAGACACATCTGTAACTGGGTG